ACACACACACACACACACACATACACACACACACACACACACACACACACACACACACACACACACACACACACACATATATATATATATAGTGTAATTCTATCCACATGTATGATCCTATATTAAAAGTAATTCGTGTAGAGATAAATATAAAATTAATTGAACAAACCAACCGGGCGGGTAGTTGAACTATTTAAACACACCCATTTTTTTTTGGTGTAAGCTATAAATTTGGTGACACGAATCAGGGGTCGCTATCCTTAGGGAAAGAAGCTTATCTATTCACTAGTATGCTGACTATATCTACTATACTAAATAAACTTCCTTGCCATTCGCACCCCAAGCTCCAAATTCAAACATCTGCGCATTGAATCTGGCTCGGAATTGTGAAGCCGATATCTTTATACCTACCGCTAGTTTGGTCAGGAAAGTGCTGAAGTTCACAAAGAACTCGTCGGGGGTGGCCTTTTTGGGGTCTTCGGCAAAAAACTCGACAATCGATCCAAATAAACGGGCCATTTCCGTTTGCAATGTCAGCAGCGCTTCAAAATCGGCACTGGATTTGTCGTAAAAGGCTTGCAACTGTGTGCGGAGGAGTGAGAAGATATAGTGAGCTTTAAAACATAGAGCGCGCGACCCGATCGACATTGGCAGAATTGGATACAATATTTGACTCTTAATTTGATACCTACTCTCTTACTGGATACAATATTTGACTCTTAATTTGCTTACCTACTCTCGTACTGGATACAATATCTGACTCTTAATTTGCTTACCTACTCTCTTACTGGATACAATATTTGACTCTTAATTTGATTACCTACTCTTACTGGATACAATATTTTACTCTTAATTTGTTTACCTACTCTCTTACAGTGTATGCACATATGCAACAACGTACCAATGCAATAAATATCATTCATACATTGGTATCTCAGGTCATATCTGCACATAGAAAGCAACCCAGTTGGCAATGGCAGAGCAGAATAGGATAGAGTCTGAGAGTTTAGAGTTTACCCTCAGTATGATCTCATACAGTCGGATCTCCCTCTACCGATTACCTTGTATATTTACTTGGTACAGTACATACCTTCTTCTACCGATTAACCTGTATGTGTACTTGGTACCGAGCATACCTTCTTCTAGCGACTGACTGTATGTGTACTTGGTACAGGACATACCTTCTTCTGGAACTGGTCCCCTGCAGTATTGGGTGCTTGCAGCGGTAGCTCCTTCTTGATCAGAGACATGCCAACCTGGTGGATGTGTAGAAGTGGTGAATGGTAAGTTGGAGAATGATATAGGGTCATATCCATCTAATATATATACATACATACAAATATACATACATGTATACACACATACGTACACACACACACACACACACACACACACACACACACACACACACACACACATATATATATATATACATATATATACACATAGACATACATACATACATACATACATACATACATATATATATATATATATATACATATATATACATACATACATACATACAAATATATATA